CACAAGACCAGAAATCCGCTTGAACGAGCAGATGGCAAGAGATTGGGTCTTGCTGCTCTCGTTGCGTTTGCCGGCTCTATTGACGCTGTTGTAGACGGAGGAACGAGATGCTGCAGAAATTCAGATTTGAACGTGATGGAAGTATCATGGAGAGATCACTGCGATGATGAACTCCTCACCTTCAAACTTGTCTTTGCAAACCCTGCTCGGTCAGGAGCTTTCCTCAGGTCTGTACAACACTGACGTTGGTGATCTTGTCTCATCGCGTGAATACTCCATCTCCTCTGAAATCCAACTGAGTCTGACAAAACATCTACGATCACCCTGAAGTTTGCAACCTCATTGTATTTCTCTCCGTTTTGTCTCCTCTATTCATCACCACTACTTGTCATGATCTGTTCTGTGTTTTCTGCATTCTGCTCGGCATTTTCTATTTCAGTCTCTTTTTGGCTCACTTTCACACTTCTCAGCACGATTGAGTTTACTTCAATTGACTTCCTCTCTCTTCCTTCTTCTTTTCTGTTGCTCTGCTCTCCTCCTCTGATCTCCTTGTTCCCCTCTGTACAGAGCATGCTCTATGGCCGGAGTCAATCTTTCTTCAGAGGGTGAGCTTTTCTTCAAAATCTGGCAAATGGCATCATGAAAATGTCAGGTACATGTGTACAACATCAACAGCAACATGCCATCTCAAGTCATGATCAACAACATCAACATGTCTTCCCAGAGCATCATCGAGGTCGAACACTCTGTCCGAATGTTGATCTGACATGCTGTGAAGCAGAGAAGGAGATGGAGAGCATGGAAATGGATCGCCTGTCCTTCTCTGATCTCAGGCAGACGCCAATGAAAGGTAGGGGGAGCGTGTAGGAGGCAGCAGATGCTGAACATTTGAAGGAGGAACGGACGTGTCAACAAGAGTAGAAGACTCTCCGTTTATCCCAAGGACGCCAACCAACACCAGATTCTTGGAGGAGAAGGAGGAGGAGGAGGAGGAGGAGGAGAAGAAAATCCCTGTCCAGAGAGTGACGGCAGAAGAGGCTGGATCGGGGGAACCCAGCATTGCGACGAGGTTGACGGCTTGATATTCACCTCCTCAATTCTCTCTGTTTGAAATTTGAATTCAGGCCCATGAGAGATGGAGACGGAGATGAAATCGTGAACCGATTGTTTGTCGACCAGCCCAGGACTTCTCCTGCGCCTGCCCCGTACGAGCTTCAAGTGCTCGCATCTGACTTGCCCGTTGACAAGCTCGACAGGCCTGAACCTGCTCCAGACGTCAAGGGAGGAAGGTACTGTGACTCTTGGAAAACCTCCTCGTCCTCGTGCTTGATCATCTCCTTGTTGACACCCTCCTCCTCCTCCTCCTCCTCCTCCTCCTCCTCCTCCTCCTCCTCCTCCTCCTCCTCCTCCTCCTCCTCCTCCTCCTCCTCATCCTCCTCATCCTCCACCTCATCCTTGGCCTCCTCGTCCTCCTTCTCGTTTATCCTCGTCCTCGTCCTCCTCATTCTGCTCCGTCTCCTCTTCCTTGTCACTTCTGTCCTCGTCCTCGCCCGTTCGTCTGTCATGTGGAACTGTCGTTGAACCTACTGACAACAGGAGGGCCTTACTTGCCGATCCAGACTTCCTGCTTGACGGTGTGCAAAAATTAGAGAAGAGGAAGCAGTGGGAGAGGGAGAGGAACTGGAACAGGACAAGAACAGGCAGAGGCAGAGTCAGAGTCAGAGACAGAGTCAGAGGCAGAGACAGAGACAGAGACAGAGACAGAGACAGAGGATGCGAAGAAGGAGGAAGCAAGCAAGCAAGGAGTTTGAAATTTTGCTCCAAGATTCAATCGACGGGGGCGATGCGCAGGAGGAGAGAGCAAGAGAGAAGCAACGCACATCAGGTTCAATTTCCTCTCGGATGTATGAGACCATCGTTCTCCTCTCCTCCCCTCCTCCTTCTCCGCTTCCCCTCCACCATCTCCTGCCCCTCACTTGCCACCTCCTGTAGTCGTTTCTTTCCCTCCTCCCTTGGTGTTTCCTTCTCGTCCTCAACGAAATTACAGGTGTGGAGCAAGATCAAGATGTGAAGGTAACATCGTTGATATGACATCTTCGATCAAATCTCTTCCTTCCCCCTCACACTTAGTCCTCCTCACTCTGTCTTCAGGACATTGTGGTTGCGCTCGAGAAGAGTGTAGAATGGCACTTGTCACTCAAGCAGACCGGGACCAGCCTTCCTGGGTATCCCTTTCCTCTCTCCCTCCCTCCCTCCT